GCTACTTCAGTTTGGTTCCATCGATTTTACAACGCCCATTTGGCTATTCAGAAAGGAACAAGGAGACCTGGGGCTAAAATAAGAAGATACTCCCATTTAATAACATAGGATCGAATATGCGAAAAATCGATGGCTGCCCGGTTAACGATGGCTTCACCATATGTGATTATACGCATCTAAGTGGGAGTGTGAAAATCCGATCAAGTCGATATTACCGTGTATGAGAAATGAAAATTACGCGTTTCTCTCGATTGTAACGAAAATATTCTATTAGTGCACTTAAAATTCATTCGAATGCCCTAACCAACCAAGAGCATTAGACACACAAAATTCATGAATGACCCTCAAGTATAAGATAGAAATAATAGATATGAGATTATTGGAGTAAAATAGCTAAGCGTACTCCTTGGTAATCGGCATCTGGGAAGGAAGCAGAGAAGATCTGATCTGGTTACTCTCCAGCAACTTTCTGTCACCAAACTCCACAGAAGTATCAAAGAAGGGAAGACAAACTTGTGAAATAACATCTGCAATGCGGCCAAGGATTGCCAAGTCATCAGAATAATCATCTTTTAGTACAGCCAAAACGAGATTCTGCAGCGATTCGGAGACATCCGCAAAGCCTGTCAAGGTGGAATAAAGGGATGATCAATATCGGCAATAACACAATACTTAAATGCAAAATAAGTAAATAATGATTCTACTCACTCATATCATCTGACAAAGACGCGGGGGTCGAACCTCGGCTATCTCCAATTGAGTTTGTATCAATCTCCTTCAGCAGACCAACATCTCGTGCATTGAAGATCAACTTTTCCAGATATTTGTGGATTTCTCCGTCAAATTGATTGAGAATTTCCATGACATTTACATTTACTTTCATCTTGTGGGTATAACGCATCTGGTAGGATATGAATCTTTTGCGTAGGTCAGCTGAAATATGAATAACGATGTGTGTCTTGATGTGAAAAGAAATCATGAAAACAGATATTAATCAGCATACATCGGATACTCCGGGTAGTAATTAAAATGATACATCCAATCTGCAACGGCGGCTCAGAAATAAACATGTAAATCTAGAAATCGCGAGGTTTTATCTACGCACAGCCATTGATGTAAACGGCTAATCAAGATAGCTTTCATTTACCCTTATCAAATGCGGAACACTTTCTTTAATAGGATCGGGAAATTAACTCCCTTAGGAGACAGAAGACAACACTACAGAACATTAAAAATATGTAGTTTAGGACCTACTATTTCATATATTAACCAAAAGGCATAGCTAATTTGTAAAATGAACATATATATGTGAAGTAGAATCAAGGTTACTTACTGACACGCTGTTGAATTGTTTCCATGTCAGCGGTTTCATCAATTTTAAACTCAGGTGAACTAAGTAGTTTTGGAGGGTGAGTATTTAGCGTTCCCTTGCTCCTATCAGGAAACCGTCTTTTACCATCATCAAGCTCAGGAGGAGGTGATGGAGGGGGAGAAAAAGTAGGCTCAAGTGGAGATGGTGGTCGAGGTTTTACAGTGGTGGTGGATCGATTTCCAGTCGGAGGTAGAAAAGATGACTGACTTCCACGACGAAGACGTGGATCTGATGGAATAGCGGCGCTACCTGCTGGACATGTACTAGGACTTTCTAAAATGGAAAAAGAGACCAGGTGTCTACTAGCATATTTCAATCTCCATTTCGAAAATGCGAAGTTGTCCAATCTCACACCCTCATATATAATGAAGAGCTAGAATGTGATTTGATAATGATCTGATGGTCATAATGACTCTCTAATCTGTAGTTGAGTGATTGGCCATACACGAGATACCCTATGATATCTGATAAACCAGACGTACATGTCCTAGCTACATCAATAAATCGATAGTGCGTATACTTCTTATGCTTTCAATAAAAACTCAAGCTGAGTGAAGTCTGAAACTCCGTTGACCCTATAGCCAATCATTTGCAATGAATTTCTTTAAATTGTTCAAGTCCTACATTACCACTTCTCTACTGATTAAGAGTCATGAGACCCAATTCTCTCTCTCTCCTTGTAGTAGTTTATTTAAGCCAAATTATCCCCATACTTTTGCAAAAAAGAAAATAGTGAAAGATAAAACTAAGGCTGTGATCCCTAAGTTCCAAAAAAGACGTTTGTAAAAGAAAACAATCAACAGCAACAAATGAGGGCTCCAATAGCGTATTTCCTTCAAAAGTAAAGCAGTAATAGTCATGAATGAGCTAACCTCTATTTAGTTTAAAAGGATCAGAATACAGATGGGGAGACTTAGCAAGAGTAGGGGCTCGAGATTGGTGGTAGGGTAATTTATTACCATCAATACTACCAACGCCGCCCTTCCCGCCATTGTCACCACCACCGCCGCCGCCGACACCACCTTTCTTCAAAAGGGGATCTGGCAATCCTTTTGCTGTTGGAGGGAGAGGAAGGTTAGGATCGATTAGAGAACCGAAAATGTTGCTGAATTCACGGAAGATGTCCTGTCGGAAACGTAAGAGATTCTCCACAGTAGGTGTGAGTGATCTACAATTGGGAGAAAGACAGAACAAGAATGAATAAAAGGTTTAACATCAATCCGTATGTTCGCAGAGATTATAAATTTATACCGCTTCCTATTCCTTCTTAAATTTAGAACACGAAAAATATTCTTCAAAAAAACTTTGCTTATTTTTTACTGTTAAGACTGAAACCCAAAAAAAAACATGGAAGAGTTAAAGATGAAAAATTCGATTTCAGACTCCACACTGGGGAAGATGGTAGTTGGCCATTGTGAAAGAAGTTGGGGGTTCAGTACTAGAACTAGCACCTTTTTTCTGTTTCTTACTCGTTTCTTCCACACATTTTGTAGACTTGATGCTCTCTGATATAATTTATTGTATCTATGAGATATTACTCCACCGTGTCAGTGAACAAATCGATAAACAGAATGAGATAAAGCTCAAGGCGATAATAGAATATCGGTATTTGTTCTAAAGAAACAAACAATTTCATCAGCCAGTTCTTTCTCGAATCATAAACCCGAGATTCGCCAAGTTCTGTGGTAAATTACATATTAATTGCACAAATAAAAAGCTGTGCACAAAGAATGTTAAGGTGAGCATTAGTAATTGTTCAACTGAGAACCCGTAACAAGACATTTGAGAAATGTTTGCTTTTTTGTGAACGACTATGCACAACACAAAATTTAAGCACGAAGAGACTTTAGTGGGTTTATTTCTTCAGACCGATATGATTTCAGCTTTTAAGCAATTCTTAATTAAATTTTCCCAAATCATAAAAAAGCTTATTAAAAAATTTTTTCTCCAAAATTCCCCATATTCTCATCTTCAATTGAGATAATTCACCGTAGACCCCAAACACGAATCAGATGGCCATTTCAACACCGGAAACGCGTTTGCAGCCTTAACACCTAAACAACACTGAACCATCAAAGCTGACAACCATTGGGTCAGTATGACCTGACACTGTAAATCAAGTAATTTTACCCATTAAGGCTGTTTAAATTTCCCATTTGGAACCAACACAACGACGCTTTGTAAACACCACACACGACACTGACAAATCTCAGAGTCTCTCTATCGTACTATCAATCGTTACCCTTCTTCAATAAGGCTTTCATTCGATTCTATCTCTACGTCCTCATTAAACTAATGAAATGGTGAAATACTTTAACCTGAAACAGTATTGATTAAAACTAAGTAAAGGATGGACCAGAACCAGTTCAGTAGTCCTCCTATACTTCTATAAAACCAATAATTGCCGATGTGTTGGGAAATCAACTCAAATAGCTTCTGCCAATTCGTCCTATTATACTAAGACTGTATTCGATGTACTCGTAAGTTCATCCTTCACTCACTAAGATATCGATTTAAACTTCAACAAGTAATATCACCAGTAAGAATTTCACCGATGTTAACACTTGTCAATTAGTGAGGCAATCATTCGTCCTATCTCCGACTCTATACAGAAAAGTTTATTTTTTCAGTGATAAAGCAATGCCTGAGCCGCAAGTCTACTTCCTTCCTCTATCTAGAGTCTGGGTGATTGTAGTTCATTAAAAGGTGCAACTAAGCAAGTTATGGAACGAGCCATTTAAGGACAGCGTTTTCAAATACTCGTATTGAGTTAAGAAGTGATATAATTAGGCCTCCTTTGCAAAAGGCTCGAATTAAGCTGACGCGGTTGGTCATTCAGATCAATGGGTGCGCACTAATGGGCATCTAGCCCGTTATCTGCGATCTTGAAGACGATCATGTTAACCACCACGATGCCAAAATAAGCTATTCTATTACACAAGTAAATAACCGGGGCAACAAGAGTGAATAAACTTAACCAACATACCGAATAACTCCAAGGCGAAGACTCTGTGTAAGACCAGCCCGTATTGAAGGCAAGATTTTGTTTGTCAATGAAGGATGGAAATTATTTGCCATCTACAAGAATGCAAAAAATAGACGGCAATATTCCAATCGATGTTACTTAAAAGGTATTTCAGTAGAGTGTTAAAAACTCACTTTAAGGAAATATTCCATTAAACCACCGTACAATGGACCATTTATGTTAAGCATTAGTCCGTTCATTAACAGCAATACTGCCGGTTCTGAAAAAAAATGTATAGAAGTGTAGCATGATAATTATTCACTTATTCCAGACAAGTGTCGGCCAAAATAAATTGACAGCTTAAATAATTAGCAGATATATATTAATACCTTAACTCTCAGATGACACATTTGTACCGATTCGTGTATGACAAAGGCAAAGTCCTCAAGGATAGTGATCAAACAGAATTCCATTCATGGAGCACACCTTCGGTGACAGACATAGATATTTCAATGGGAGTTTAGCACATTGATGAACGACTCCAATATCAACTACTCATAGGTGTCTCCATTCTATACGTCCTTCCCCATCCCCTATTACCATCAAACATGGTTTAGTCTACACGGACCCAACTAGTATAACTCCAATCCTTTCCAAGTTATACCTCAATTATGTTAACAATATTGAAGCAACCGCACCATTCAGAACCATTATTACTAACCAGTGCGCAGTAATTAACACGTCCTCGTCTACGAAGTCAATGTTCACGGTTTCGATACCAATTAGCGCGCAGTTGGTGAGTGAAAAAGCACAACTGCACTAGATATGCCTAACTGGAAAAAGGAGTGGCAGTATTCGAGTTTAACAACATGAAGACTCTGGGATGCTACCATCTATACAAGATGAGTATTGATAAATGGTCTAAGGAATTATTACTAACAAAGGAATTTCGCTCCCTTCCTGCACCTTGATGCGGAACAAAAGCAGATGGATGATGGAAAGGTCGCCCCACAATTTGAAGCAATTAGCTAATAGAAACAAGAATTGCAAACTGAACTGATTTAGACAGACTAGTAATAGCAACAAAGTTCAAATTCTAAAAAAATTATATCATTTTATTCATGAAATTAACTAAAAACGATCAACTCTAGTGAATCAAATCGAATTTATTTCGCAGATACACTTCATTTCCTGAATATTGATTAATCCTTTGTGGCAAAATTTCGTGGATTTTTAAAAGCTACTGTCATGAGTGACAAGTAGGTAAACAACTACAGAAGAAACAAATATTCACACGTACCAATGTTCATTATGGGTTCACCAGGTTGAAATGTGAACCAATTGAAGAAAAGAGATAGAGCACACTGTTCGAAGTAGACAGTTTTCTGAGAGGAAAAAAGAAAGATGGTAACATCTAAGTCAACCAAACTGTCAAGTAGAATAATAGGATCTTAATAGTATCAAAAGCTTTACACAAAGCAAAAAAGACCTTCTGAATTTTGAGCAGTAAATAACACCCTATGCTGGATTAGAAAGAAACACCATAATAAATAGTTCGGTATACGTAGATAATTACTAACTTGCCTGATTAAAAGAAAGTGTGGTCTTAAAGCCTGAAGGTTGTGGCTGCAGTTTATTATAATTTAGAGATGGGGTGCGCAATAGACTTACCTCCACGTGGTGCACCCTGGGCAACGTATACTTATACGGCAAAAAGGTCTATTGATCGGCAGTTGACTTCTGACTTCAAACTACTATGGCCCAACTATTTGTCATATTCGATCCCCTTCACAGTACTCATCTAACCTTTTTTATGCCTTTGTGTCTGTCTGTCTGTCTCTTTTACATCTGTGAATCACTCTTCTGTTCCCCCTCTCGACTTTTTGTCACTTTGATATTCCTTCTCCTCTCTGTGAAGCCCCGAAGTCAGCTCCAGGGCTAATGATAACTATCAAAACGCCTGCCATTTGATATAAATAAATAATTTAGAGATATCTCACCAC